CGTCGCTAGAATTAAGGATAATAGATGGACCAAAAAAATCTTGGAGTGGAAACCGAGGGCGGATAGACGAAACCCGGAAAGACCACCCATAAGATGGACTGACGACATAAAGAGGATTTGTACCAACTGGATTGTAGCAGCCCAAGATTGATCTGAATGGAGGTTTTTCCAGGAGGCCTATATCCAGCAGCGGACGATTATGGACTGATGATAATGATGATGATCATGTGTAGTAGAATTACAGTATATCACGGTGGCTAAGTATACCTGCAATAATAATCCAGTAACTTCATTATGCTTCATTGCATGAGGTAATAAGTAAAATAATTTTATATTTTCGGCTTTTGGCTCTCTTTTAGTTCTCTTCTTTTAGTGTAACTTTTGGTTCTCTTTTAAAAGTTACACTTTTGGAGTTGCGTCATTATTCCACCGGGGCAACGATATGTTTGCACATTATTTAATACTTTTATTAAAGCTATAGTTTGCAAATTTTTTACATCAATTTTGAGGGGAATTTAATGAAAATAACATGCGCCATGTATTGCTGTTCTAAAAAAAGAAAAAAAAAGAATGGCACAATAACAAATTTACGTTTAATTGGTATATACATGGTGTCCAAAAACTAACAAACGAAGACCTGAGATTCCTCAGATAATTTTAAGACAATTTAACCCAATTCACCTAGCCCGAAAATGTTCTCTAAGGGAGCTAGAGCTGTCAGAAAATGGCGCTTTGTAATTTGTTTTTTTTAAGTACCTCCAGAACGCTTATATTTAGAACAATGAAACCTGGTACGATTACGATAGGCGTCCTTTTTGGGTAGGCCAACGGTTATTTAACCCATAACTTTTTGTCTTTGCCTTTTAACCATTCGTGATATTAGATTATTAAATTTTCGTGTATTCTTATACTAAAAGTTACTTCTACTCTAAGTCGATAGGATAGAACCATTGACCAGAGAAATCAATTTGAAGATTTTTTGTTTTTAGTCATGAAATTTAAATTAATATTTTTTTCATTAGTTGGCTTAGACCTGTTAACAGAAGTATAACCTATGTTTGTAATTATCAAACTGTGATCGGTTCGCGAACTTTGTCTTTTAGTTTTTTTACGAATAGCCTTTAAGCTGATATGCTTTAATTATCAGCGAAATGAGGTGCAACTCTTAAGCAGCACAACGTACATACCCTGAAAATATTCTCAATCCTGATCCCACTCACTCAATATTTACAGCTTTTCATCAACGATTAAGAGAAATAAGTTCAGTGTTTCTAAAAAATAATGAAAGAGGACGACATGGTTATATAACAGTAGCACATAAAGATGTTATTTTAATGGAAGTTATGGAAAATCCAGAAATTAGCGTTAAGACTATCTGCCATGTAACCCACAATTTTAAAATCTTACGTAGGAAATATCTTAGACAACGGAAGAATTCGGTTTATGGTTAAAAATCAATAAAATCAAAATGATAACTTTTTTCAGGTACATTTTGTTTTCGACAAATTTACATTCACAAAAAATGAAATTAATTATGTGCCTAATGCTTAATATAATTCGTATGTTGGTTACAATCCCCACGTTGTTCAAGAATTTAAGCATCAACATAGGTTTCATAAACGTCTGGATATGAGTAGTTAACGATTATCTACTTATGCCTGTGGAATTGCCTGCTCGTTTAAATGGTGCTGATGACATTTCCTGCAAAATGTTTTACCTAATCCATTAGATGATGTGCCTTTAAATATTTGTCAACACTTATGGTTTTTACATGACCGCTGTCTGGCCCACTTTAGCAGAAATGTGCAAGACTTTCTTAATAATAACTACGAAAACCACTGGATGGGAAAAGGCTGTCCAATTACTTGGCCAGCAAGATCGCCAAATCTTTGCGATTTGAGTATACATTCCGATACAAAATCGTGCACAACTCTGGCTAAATATACAAGATGCTTGCAACAAATTTAAAAATAACTTTGTAATTGTTGCAAGAATTTGAATTCTGTAAGCAAAAGGACAAATTTATTCACAAAGACAAATTTATTCAACGTTCATCACGTCAAGCATCTTTTGTAACCATCTACTTTTGATATTTTTGATTTTTTTTCCAAACTATCGATTTGAATTAATAGTATTTTTTATTACTAGAATAGTTGAAAATTTAATAATCTAATATAACAACGCTTTATAATGCTTTAAAGTTAACGACGAAAAAGTTATGCATTAAAATAACCGCTGACCTACCCAAAACGGACACCTATGATTGCAATTGATGGAATCGATTCAACTTTGGATGATAAATAATCGTACCAGTTTTCTTTTTTTAACTAGGAGCGTTCTGGAGGTATTAAAAAAAACTATGTACAAAGTGCCATCTTCAAAGAGCTCTAGCTCCCTTAGGAAGCATTTTCGGAATACGTGAATTGGGTTAAATGTCTTAAAATTACGAATGATTGTGGAAATGCTGAAAACGGGGGGGGGAGGGAACTACAGTTACAGTCCTTTATGTACTAATGAATAAAATATTGAACACAAAACATATATCCACCACATGGCCCTTAACGCTACTTAATGTAATATACAAGCTGTAATATATACTAACTAATAACAAACAGATTAACAACTAAGTTAGATAATTACCAGTCAAGAGAGCAAGCCGGATTTAGAAAAGGATTCAGTACAAGCGATCATCTGCTTACGATAAAAATATCAATTAAAAAGGCCAGCGATTATCAAATCCCAATGTATATGGCATTTGTAGACTTTGAAAAAGCGTTCGATAAGGTGGAACATTGGGCAGTAAAGAACTATTTACAAAATGGTAGAATAGACTATAGGATATAGATATACGGACTTAATTTCCAATATATATGATCAAGCAACAACATCCATTAAAATAGTAAAATAGAAACAACGGAGCCTATTAAAATAAGGCGAGGAGTCAGACAGGGTGACACTATATCACCCAAATACAATCAAGCTTTGGAAGACATTATGAGGAAATTACAATAGGAAAAACAGGGTATTAATATAAATGGCCAATACTTGAATTACTTAAGATATGCAGACGACATTGTATTAATAACAGATAAAAGAGAAGAAATACAAAATATGATGGATGAATTAAACAGCGAATCAACAAAAATAGATCTACAAATGAATTATAATAAAACGAAAATTATGACCAACCAACCAAAAGAATTAATAATTGCAATTACCCAAACAGCTATAGAACAAGTAGTAAAAGAATAAAAAAAATTTTGTTAAAGTCCTTTATAAAAGGTATATAAAAATGCCTCAAACGGGCTATCACAAACACATTGCAAAACGTTTTCGGATTAAACAATCCATCATCAGTGCAAACGGTTGTACATGCTAGTAGCCACCAAAATATATGGGTAAAAAACCTTTAAATGTTATAAATTTGTAGTTGTTTTACATTATTAATAGTTATAATTTGGGATGTTTAAGTTGCCGTTGGATAGGTAACATGGCGGCGTATGACTCTACATGAGTAAAATGGTCCTGAGACGAAGTGTCTACGAGGACCTGTTGATAACAACTCAGTTGCAGTTATGTTATGAGTTAAAGTTTTTGCAATTTTTTTTAAACAATTCCATTATCATCAGCAAAAACATTAATAGAAAATTGTAACGAATAAAAGTTTCCAGTTTTCCTATCATTTGTAGACTAAGAAAAAGCTTTCGATACCATAGAACATACGGCCGTAATAAACGCAATCAAAATTGTAGAATATACAGCAGATATATTAACTTAATAAAAGAAACTATGAACCAAGCTACAGCTACATACTACCTAAATGAAAATGAACACACGAACCCTGTAACATTAAACAGGGGAGTCAAACAGGGAGATACTTTATCACCCAAACTGTTCACCTAGTTTTGGAGGACGTTTTTAAAAACCTAAATTGGAAATATAAGGGAATAAACATCAATGGCCGCTACCTCAGTAATCTACGATTTGCAGATGACATAATCCTGATAGCTACTGACCTACAAGAAATGCAAACCATGCTTTTAGAACTACATACCGAATCTTCTAAAATAGGACTGAAAATGAATTTAAACAAAACAAAAGTCATGCACTCCGAAGACACCGTAACAATAATAAACGATAAAGTTATAGAAAAAGTTGAAGAATATATATACTTAGGACAAAAAATAATACTAAATAGGAAAATTCAAACTGAAGAAATAAAAAGAAGAAGAAAGTTAGCTTGGGCAGCATTCGGTAAACTGAACTATATACTCAGAAATCAACAAATTCAATAACATCTTAGATCTAAAGTTTTTGACGCATGCATTATTCCGATATTAACTTATGCGGCACATACATGGACAATCATAAAAAAGATTATGAATATACTTAGAGTCACTCAACACGCGATGGAAAGAGCAATGCTAGGTATATCACTTAAGGACAAGAAAACAAATACATGGATAAGACAGAAAACCAAAGTCACCATACCAACACAAAAGACCCAGAGGCAGACCTCCTATGAGATGGACAGATGATCTAAAACTGACTGCCGGGAAAAATTGGCTACAAGTAGCGTACAATAAAAAACAATGGAAAGAAAGACTTGAAGAGGTTTATATTCAGATGTGGACGTGAATAGCTAGACGAAGAAGAAGAAGAAGAAGTTGTGGCTTAATCCCATGTAAACATAATATTTAATAACGCAGTTTGTTATTAAATACAGTTAAACTATGCTACATAGTTTGATTAAATTTTATTTTAATGTAATGTGATAACTATGATAACATTATACTTTATTGCAAAATTTTGTAAATTAAAACAGCGTTACTGATTTCGTCCTTAGACAGTGACCCCTTTTTTTTTCTCATCCAGATTTGAGCAGAGTTTTGTTATAAAATCCTTGTTGGAAAAAAAATACCTATCAAATCAATGATAAAATTTGGGTGAAAGGTTAATATCAAAATCATTTATAAATGAATATAGAACGGGATTTCCAAGCTGTTTCTTAAGGATATACGTATAGTACCAATCAAATAAAATGATCAATAAAATTTTATTTTTTTCGTTTTTGTGTATACTGTTATGGTACAAAAATAATGTCGAAGCAGGTATGTATAATTTTAATTATCTTTTTATAAATTTAGATGGTATTTTAAATACAAATACATATTTTTCACTTAAATTACAGTTAAAAGACATCAATTTTATAGTTAGCAATTTTTATATCAAAACTTTAAGTCTTTAAATAATCAAATTTTTCAATTATATTAAAATGGTATTACAGTAAAACACAAAATTTAACTATAAAGTTCGTTACTTCCTGAATAGTCATAATTTTTTATTTATTGCACTGAATGATTCGTCCCTTTTAATCGCATTATCTGTTTTATTGCATTCGCAATTACATATATATATATATATATATATATATATATATATATATATATATATATATATATATATATATATATATATATATGTATATATATATATATATATATATATATATGTATATATATATATATATGTATATATATATATATATATATATGCGATCGTTCCAGTCATCTGCTTGTAGACCTCCATCTTAAATTGCAACACTTACTTCTTGCCTCTGCGTTCTTCTTGATCTTTCTTTTTTTCCTGTGGTTGGTGGGAATCCAATATCATATTCTTTTTGGTCATCTTTAATCATCCATTCTTTCGACATGATAATACTATTTCAGAGGTCATGGTATACAGAATGTCAATGTCTATCCCATACGCTTACTGATTTCAGTATTCCTTACAAATCTCTTTATGTAATTTGGCAACATCTACGCCAATAGTTTATTTTCATATGAAGCAATACTTTCTCTGATACTTTTGTATATCCCATTTTTTTTATTTCGAGTGATGTGTTTATGCCAGAGATTTTTATAGCTATCAGTATTTTCGTGTTGTATGTCTATTAGTTCTAACTGCCTTTCTTCCCCTCCCACCACCACATACGTTTTTTACAAAGTAATTAATAAACCTCTTTGTATATTCTTCATCCATTTTTTACAATATGTAGTGGATATTATTTTGATCTTCTTTAAAAATTCAAGATTTACAGTTTATGATCCACAATTTTAACATAAATTTACGTTTACGATTTCGTTTCCAAATATCCAAAACGTTCTCAAAATAAATCTTAATCTTCTGCAATTCAGCAGCTTTGGCCAAGTCCTTCAGTCTTATCTTTTTTGTCACTTTTTGTCCAATCTTTAATGAACTTGTCATATGGTCGTACGACTCTCTCACAACATTAATGTAACTGCTGGAATTTTCTACATGCCACAGCTTGGCTAATGGGACTCTATCATACTCCTTTTGGAGACCAATAAATACCATGTGTGTCTCCATATTGTATTTCAAGGGCTTTTTTATTGTTTTTTTTTTAGACAAAACACATTGTCTATCCAAAAAAGACCAGTACAAAAGTCACTTCGATTAAATTTGCATTAAAAAATTATTGACACCTTCCAGAATAATATTGAAACATCTACTGCATATTTCACAGTAGCATAAGAGTTTTCACTGTGGATTCAAAAGTGGACAAAATTCGTGCAAAATAATGGAAAACTATTTTGATTGTATTTTAGAATTATTAGACAACTGGGATATTCATATGTATCCAAATAGAATATTTCTGCAAATATTAATTACACTGCAAGTTAGTACATCAATAGCAAGACTTGACTTAGAAATAGAAATTAGGTGGAAAGGTTAACTGGTTTAGCACTTATCAAAGAGAATCCTGTAATTTCTCTAGATGTTGATGCAATCATAGAGCGATTTGTTAAATCGAATAGGCGAAAAGAATACATTTTATAAAATTATATAATATTTACTTATCTTATTCTTATAGTATTTTTAATCACTAAACCTTTATTTACCACTCTTAGCCGGCTGTTGCTAAAAATTCGTGAGAAAAATTTCAATATCGAGTAAAAAAATATTTCACTCACTTGTGGCCTAATATGTGTAATTATAGAAATAACTATTCTTAAATTCTTCTTTTTCTTAAGGTGCCGTGCATTTCTGCGTAGGCATCCACCGTACATCGTCTTGTCAGGTGAGATGTTAAATATTATTCAGGAATAAATAATTTTCTTTTTAGCAGCATTGCGAAGCATTTCATAGCTGTGAATTCCTGTCCATTGTCGAATATTGCGCAGCCATGACATTTTTTTACGTCCCAGACCACTCCTACCCTCTTTCTTCCCTTCGAGTATCAGTTGCTGAAATTATATTATGTTTTTGTTGAATAAATTATTGTAAATAAAATGCTGTTTACGCTTCTTCCTAAGGTTCCCTCTTCATTACGGAAGGATGGCTATAACTACAGCAAATGTCTCTCTATCTTGAGCTGTTTTTAGTAACGAATGTGTGTCCAGGCCTAAATGTCCAGGAGCATTTTTTTCTTCCTTAACCTCTTTTTCCTGCTACTTTCCCTTCCATTATGAGTCATAGAAAGTCGATAACTCGTTTTTATGTTGTTTAGAATATTTAGGAGTTCTCTCTCAGTGTTCATTTTTCTCAGTACCTCTTTGTTGGTCATGTGCTCTGTCCACAACGACATCCTTCGAAAAACACACATTTCAAAGCCTTCTATAAGGCTCCTACTTGTAATTCCGAGAGTCATGTTTCCACTCCGTATAGCAATAAGGAATAAATGAATGTTTTTACAAATTGATATATGTTAACATGTATATTAAGCTTTTGCATTTAAATTACTTTACTTTGGTTTATACTTATTTATCCTTGATTTGGTGGGTTTAAAATAATTGTCTCTAGAATTCCTAATGTAAATTGACAGTCCTTGATTTTCCATTATTTATATTTTCTTTCCTTTGGTTTAATAGTCTTGTACACTTGCTTTTACTGTGATAGATATTTTTTTTTTTGGTTAAGTTTAAGACCAATTAATGTTCTAGCCTTCTTTGTACCTGTAGGTACAATTTGGGTTTTAATAACTTCTCATTGGTTTAATATGTCGCTTAAAATAATTATTGAGAAAATGGTTCCCCTACATGAGGCACAAATTATATCAATCGTAAAGGTGCAAAAATCTAAATCCTATATCAAAATCACCTCAAGGCCAATGACAACAAAGATTCTGGATCCGCCATTGACTTGAAAGTAGGTCGGATAGAGTTATTATTTCAGTCTACGCACTCTGTAAGTTATTTAGATTGGACCCTGACGCTGCCTCATAACTGGATCCCATAGGCCTAAATGAGCTTAATCTTAGACTGATATAATAAAACATTGTTATGCAAGGCCAATTTTTATTTGCAGCCAATGAGTCAATACATATTACTTAAATAAAGTCCAAGCCAAGTTGGCTTTTCCAAATTAGACGGCTTTCTAAATTATTGCCGAGATGTTTAGCGTCTTTAGATTTAAGAAGTTAATTCAGTATATACAGGAGAAGATATTTCTCCACGTATCGTAAATGGTACGTGAAGTACATTAGTTTTCTTAGATTTAATGTACCATATTTTTAACCAATACTGAACTATATTTAGATTTGATTTGAGGTGTCTTTTTAAACAGATGATGAACTTGTGTGAGATGTCAAAATAACAGTATCATTTGCATACGTAGCTGCTGTGGTTTTCTTATTGTCAGAATGTTCGCTGTTTACAAGAGATATAGTATTATGTAGTAATATACAAGATAGTTAGTATACTATATTTCTGGAAGCATCTATTTTCCAGGTATGATTTTAAGAACAGTAGATGAGGGTATGATAATAGGTTCTTTAGTTTTATTTATAGTCCTCTATGCCAAACCTTATCTCAAACATTCGACATTATGTCAATGAAAGCAGGTGAGCAACATCTTTCGTTGTTTAGATATTTGTTCATTATATCATCTAGTCAATACACTTATTCTATAGTTCTCTGTTTTTCATGGAAACTAAATTGACAATCTAAATATATTTAATCTTTGTTTGTTATCCTTTTTAGCCTTCCTTTTAGTATCGCTTTACGTACATCTCAAATAGTTAAGTAGCTAAGCATAGGCAGAAGAATTATAGATCAAGAGGAAGATTAATTTTCTGGATTTTTTAAGGATGTGTGCCATTTTTCAGGTACTAGGGAAATGGTTTAAACGTAGAATTGCAATAAATATAAAAGTTATTAATTTGGTACACTTATCCGAGGATTCTTTCAGAATATTTTGCAGAAATAATCCAGAGGCTCTCATTCATACCAAATACACTCTGGGCCAAAATTAACCGGTCACTTTAAAAATGGGTAATTTTTGATGTCTTATATCTTCTAAACCTGTTGTCCGATTTAAGTGATTTTTTAAAATGTATAGAATCACGTTTTTTAAAAAGTATGTTTTTTGATTCATTCGCTTATGTTGGATAATACAAAAGTTAGATAGTTTAACAACTAGCCATATTTTTCATCAATACAGACGATTTAACTCACCAACAAAATTAATCGCACCACCTTTATTATTGATTTATTTACATTACCTGTGACAGTTTGTTTCCTAAATTTGTGTCATGGAAGAATTTTTGACATAATATAGTCGTTGTACATTGTTGCAAATCTGTTTCCGTGTTAATAACAATTCTTGAACAATTTGTAATTAAAATTAAATTTGTAATAATTAATAATTAAAATTGTAATTTTATATCATTGTGAGCAAATATTGTTTAAGTTGAAATGTTAGTGCTTATTAATGATTGTGATATTAATTGTTTGTTTAATGCTGGTTACAGTCAACGTCATATCGCTGGTATTCTCGGTGTATACAGAACTACGGTACAAGATGCCATCAGATGATTTCGGCAGACAGGATCGTACAACCGCAAGCCAGGTCAAGGCCGAAACCGATGCACTTCAGTTCGAGATGACTGCTTCATTGTCACTAGTCTTAAGAAATCGCTTTTGCACCGCTCCTGAAGTTCGTAGGTCTCTTCTTGGGATGAGAAACATTAGTGTGAATAAACAACCTATTAAAAGAAGACTGTCAGAAATAAACTTGAAGGCTTTTTGTCCAGATCGCGCACCACAACTGCTCCCACAACACCGTAGGGCTAGACTTCATTTTGCGCGAGAATATGCTAACTGGACTATGGCGGAATGGAAGAATATACTGTTCTCAGATGACAGCAGAATGGCCTTTAAAGGTCCAGATGAACGCCAACGTGTCTATAGGCGTCAAAATGAAAGGTTTGCTGCATGCGCTATAACACTCATTATTGATACCCATTTTTTCTCAATTAGACTTTGATTTCCAAAATATTGTTAATTTGAATGTTCTTTGAAGATTTTATTCATTGGATTTTTACTGTAACAAATAACTTTCTTTCAAAAAGATTATTTTTCTCTTCCGCGGAGATAAAAATTGATAAAAAACATGTCTAGTTGTTAAAGCACCTAACTATTATATTATTCCACATAGCGAATAAATTAAAAAACAAAATATTGTGAAAGCATGAGACTATATTTACGATTTAATTGCAGTATTCTACAAATGCTAGAATATTCCACAGGGTGATGCAAACTTAAAAAAAAAACACAGTTTGATTCGTACACCCCGTATACAATGAAAATTTACATGTTTAGCAACAATATTATTATAAAGATATTGTCAAGGAATAAGGCTATAACATACCTAAAAATCACTTAAATCGGACAACAGGTTTAGGAGATATAAGAAATCAAAAATTACCCATTTTTAAGGTGCCGGTTAATTTTGGCCAAGAGTGTAGATCAGCTTTGCCTTTATCGTTCCTAGCCCAGTTATTGATATCATCTTTAATGGATGGCTATGTTGTTGGGGTTATTTAAAGTTTTTTGTAGTTTTTTAAAGTAAATGATCGGTAGCTTCGATCAGAGATAGATTTTTTGGGTATTCTTGAATTCTAATGTTATTTTCCTTAGCATTTATGCAGTAAATTTCGTGAGAGGCAGGTCTATTTGAAACATTGGTGTTAGGAATTTGGTTAATTATGTTTCTTCCTCTGTAGAGAGTGTAGAAGGATATGACATAAATAAATTTTGAAGATGCTTACCAAATAGATCAATCTTTGTTGTTACTAGCGCAGTTATTGGCATCATATTTAATGGATGGGTTATATTGTTGGGGAGATTTGAATTTTTTTGTAGTTTTCATAAATAAATACTATGTAATTTCGGTTTTTCAACAACCATCGATAGTGAAAGGGTACAAAAAGTCTAAGATTTAAACCCCTTCTTGAATATTGTATTAATTTTAAAAAGCCATTTTAAGTGCATGTTTTTAAATAATATGCCCCTCTAATGAAAAAAAAAACTAAAAAAATAAGACTAATTATGTTGAAATCTGTGGTTATCTGTAGTGCAAGGTTTTTGTTGTAAAGATTTGTATCTGTAATATTTGTCTTCATCTTCTTATAACAATCCTTGACTGTTCACTCGTGCACGTAAGCCTCCGGTTGACATTTCCATTTTAGTTTTTCTCATGCTACTTGGCGCCATTGTTTTCCCTCATTTTTATTCACATCTGTAATCTACTGATCTTAATTTTTGATCTGCAATGTCTATATCTTCCTGGAATTTTTGTCCTTTTCTTCCATCATTTGAAATTTTTTTTATTGGTTGTTATCTGTGTACATGAATCTGATAAGACTGAGTTTACTTCTTTTTTCTATTCAGTTGGTTTTAGTTTAATAGTTTTCTTACTAGTCTCTACCCTGATGTCACCATTATATTGCCGCTTTCCACGGATATCACTCCAATGTTCTTTACATTGCACTGATGGGATGTGATTCTTTTACGATCGGTGAAGTCCAGAATATCCCTTATTTTGGTTCTGGTCCTGCTTGTTTTTACTAAGCATCTTAACATTTATGCTCACAATTGTCTGGGTTGACTCTGAAAAGTGGCTTTCTCTTTTTGTTGTAAGTCAAAGTTCACGATACAAAAATGTAGTCTGGTGAATTATCTAATTATAAATATGATGTCTGTTGTATTTTTCAGGTACTCTGTTGGTAGGAAACACAAAAGTGCACCAGGTCATTTTTAATAGCAGTTTGTATCTTGTAAATGAAACTTTCCGGGTAAGTTATGCTTAACGAAAACTAAAAAGATATGCGTTTATTTCTAGACGAATTAAACATTCTTTTTCTTAATTTCTAGGGAACTTGGCTCCAAGCTATGTTATATTGCAAGTTACTTGATATGGACCTCGTTAGTATCGAATCAAAAGAAGAAAATGACTTTCTTTACAAAACACTATATCGATATAGTAAGTAATGCCAATTTGACTAATAAAAAGTGAGTTATACAACTGTACATATAGCTGTACATATACATACCTATACTACTAACGATATTAAACGATGAGCTATTTTAATAAATATTTAATTTATAGTTAATACACAACAAACTTGGTATTGGACCTCAGGAACTACATTGCCATACGATAAGTGGGTATGGATGGCCACTGGTAGTCCAGTTATCTATACCCACTGGTTTACCAATAGGCCAGACAATTCTGGAGGAAACAAGAATGCTCTCGAAGTCCAACTTTATCCCGGAAAGGGTCTCTATTGGACTAACAGCAATCAAAATGATACAAAACGAGCAATTTGTGAAGTAAAAATTGTGAAATCAATTAATGCAACTGACGAAGATGATGATAATGTTCCAATTTTTAGATAGGCCAATAATTCAATAAATATATTTAATAAATGTTTGATTATGTTTTAATGATCGTCATTCTCTTTGCTTTTACCTCCATATAGTGTCAGTTTTTCCTACTTAATTTCTCCGTAACCCTCCAACTTAGATTATATTAATATCAATAGATTTTTTTTTTCATAAACGCCGTCTGTTGTAAACAGATCGTATTGACACCAGTTGGTTGACTATTCAGGTCCTCTGCTACAGGCTATGTAGGTTAAGTCTCAATGAAATAGTCCTATTGTATGCAGGTTTCTCTTAACTGTCCAACGTCCAGTATATTCATCCAGTACACATTAAATATTTTATTAAATATTTTATTTAAATCAATATTAATTTAGGATATACCTGCTAGCTTATTTTTTCTTTCTTTCTTTCTTTCTCCCCTTCCTTTTACCCTATCAGGGTGTCGGATTTGGGCTAGCTATTTTAATTTCCATTTACCCACCTCTTCCATTCTTTTCTGTTTCCTGCCATTATTTTTAATTCCTCGAGAGATTTTTGTTTAAATTTTCCCGCCTCTACTACTTGCTGTATCCATTTTTTTCTTGGTCTGCCTCTTTTTCTTTTTCCGATATTTTTTGCTTCATAAACTTTTTTTGTTATTCTATTGGATTGCATCCTCGTCAGACGCCCATACCAGTTCATTTGTCTCTTTGCTATTTTGTTTATTATCGGTTCCTGTTTGGCCATTCTCCTAATAGTCTCGTTGCTTAATCTATCCCATTTTGTCTTTCCAACTATCCTTCTTAGATGTCTCATCTCCATTGCGTTTATCCTGCTCTTATGTTTTTCCAGAATTGTCCAGTTTTCACTTGCATAGAGCACAGTCGGTATCACTATTGTGTTATATATTTTTATTCTTGTTTCTCGTGTAAGTTCTCTTTTTCCCATTATTGGGGCTAACGCATAGTATAACTTGTTTGATTTCTTTGCTCTATTTGTTATTTCCCAGTCTATTTTTCCATCATTAGTTATTATACTTCCCAGGTATTCGTAAGTTGATACTATTTCCAATTCTGAGTTTTACATTTTATCTTTATTTGATTATCTTCCTGATCTCCATTGCCGCTGATTATCATTATCTTACTTTTTTCCTCGTTTATCTCCATTTTTAGTTCTTCTATTTGTTCTACCCATATATCCATTAGTTTCTGCATTTTATTTTCGGAATCTGCTATTAGTACTATGTCGTCTGCATACATTAAGGACTCTATTGTTACCGGTTGTAATCTGTGGTAACCTATTATTGTCTGTAGTTGATTGGTTCTGATTCTAGTGTTTCTTAACAATTCGTTCATTACTATTATGAATAGCAAAGGGCTGAGACTATCTCCTTGTTTAATACCTCTCTTCCAATTAAATGCTTCCGATCTTTCCCCTGTTATTTGTACCCTTTCTTTTACCTCTTTGTAAGTACTTTTTATAATTTTTATCAATGCATTAGGTACATTTATTTTTCTCAAGCATTTCCCTATAATATATCTTTCTATCGTGTCAAATGCTGCTCTTAGGTTTATGAATGCTAATACTAGTTTTTCGCCCGTATCTATGCTTCTTTCTATTAGGTTTCTAATGATATATATGTTGTCATTTGTCTGTCTTCCCGGTCCAAATGCCGTTTGTTCTTCTCCCAATACCATTTCTACTTCTTGTCTCAGTCTCTTCTCTATTATTTTCGTATATATTTTAAAACATACCGATGACAGACATATTGCTCTATAGTTGTCGCAGTTTACATGTTCTCCTTTTTTGTATATTGGCACGATGATATTCTTCTGCCAGTCTTTAGGTATTGTTTGTTTTTCCCACGCCTCTTTATATATTTTCAATAGCCAGTTTATTCCTTCTTCTCCCATGTATTTTACCATTTCCGGTTCAATTTCATCGTCTCCACCTGCCTTGCCTATGTTTATATTTGATAATCCTTCTATTACTTCTTCTCTACTTATTTGCACTAACTCTGTGTTTTGTTCACCTTCATTGTTTATATTGTCTTCATTTATTACTTCGGTATCAAATTTTTTCTCATAATATTCTTTCCATACCCTAGCTACTTGTTCCGGGCTTATTTTTATTTCGTTTGAAATATCTCTTACTGCGTTTATTTCCTTTCGACCTCCTTGCCTTATGTGTCGTATTGTTTCTATTGTTTGTTATATATTCTTCCTGAAGTTCTTCTCCAAATTCTTTCCATGTTTTTGGTTTTGCTTGTGTGACTGTCTTTTTACCAATCGTCTCTGCCTATAGTATTTTTCTTTATCTTCTTCTAATCCCGTTTCAATGTATTTTTTCCATGCTATTTTCTTCTTTTTTATTTCTGTTTTCACTTCTTTATTCCACCATCTTGTTCTTTTCAATTGTTTATTATATTTTTTTTACCACACACTTCAGTTGCTGTTGTCTTTAATACTTCACTGTAAGTATTCCATCTTTCTTCCACTGTCCATGTTTCTTTTTGGCCCTCTATTTGTCTCAGTCTTTTGTCAGTTTCCTCCGTGTACAATTCTCGCACACTTTCTATCTTTAGTTTGTTTACATTTACTTTCTTATACTCTCTTCTTTCCACTTCCTCTATTTTTTCATCCTCCAGTTTTGCAGTGACGTAGCGGCGAGCGCAGTAATTTTACAAGCATGTAATAAGCTTACAACTCAAGTTGTGTACTATCACAGCCACCTTTACTTCCAAGCCATGAAGTAGAAATTTGGCAACAACGCGTGGTAGTCCGACTTTGGTTTGTTTTGGTTCATTTCATATAGGAAGGCTTGTAAATTTTGTTGAATTTATTGTTTTTTAACTTTATTCGAATGTTTTATTTGTAAATTGTGCATTAAATCAATTAGACAATATTAATATAAGTGAAATTTCATTAAATTTAGAACTTTTAAAAGATTTTTAACGACAATTTAAAAGGCAAGTATAAATATAACCTACAAAACAAACTGAAAATAATAATACTTTTGCTTCTTGTTACAAAATATGTAAACTAAAAACAAAAATAATAATACTTTTGTTTTTTGTTACAGATGCTCTGGCATTGTTGTGTACCTGGTTGCAAAACCAATTATGCCAGTACTTTAAAAACAAAACAGGCAGAAAGTATGTTTTTGTTTCCCAAAGATCCCCAAAGAAGGTATACTGGGTTATGCTCTATTCATATAGAAGGCTGTACAATTACCAAATCTTCCGTGGTATGTGCCAAACATTTTCATGAAGATGATATTCAGCGGACTGAACAATGAGAAGATAAAGATGGAAATGTACACATTGAAAAATTAATATTTCCCAAATTAAAAGGCAATGCAGTTCCTAATATATTTCCCGAAGTACCATCATATGTAACTGTTCATCGTACTAAAGAAAGAAGGAATCCTGAAGACAGAAGAAACTTTTTGCATAAGAAGAGGGAACAAGAGATAACATAATTATGTCAATTAGACTTAGACAATAATATCCCATTGAAAACTGGACAAGTAAAATTACAAGTGACTGTATATTTCTATGGATTAAACATTAATCAGTTTAGACACAAGTGTGATAATATTTGTGTAATATGTAGTGTAATAGTTAGCAGTAATTTTAGTGTAATCGTCAATGTAGGTAAGAATAGATTAAGTGGTAATGATTTGAAATGGATTTTACAATATAGTTAATTAACAAGATGGTCACAATTAGAGAACTTACTTTCTCATTTAGATTTGCTTTTTAGATAAGTGATAACAAATTTGAGTATTACATTCAAAAATCTTTTGAGAATATAGGCTATTTTAAATCGATATACAAGTTATAAATGGTATGTTACATTCAACACATTTTTCATGTATACCTCTTTTAACTTGGTCTATATGACAACAAACCTATTCATATTTAAAATTGCTACTTTTGTATATCTAAGTATGAAAATTCAACAAAAGTTATAAGTAAATAGTAAAATATTTAATTTTCAATTAGATTAATTTAGATCCATATTTATATTGTGTCTGATTTCTTAGGATGAATTTTTTAATCATAATAGTTACACTAAGTTTTTACTTAGCACAAATTTTATATCTTTTGTATTTTTAATAATCTTTTTAAATGTAGTGTTAATGTATTGTGTTATATATATGCTTAAGTACTTAATATTTAAAATTTCTAGAGATTCTTGACTGCATTTGATTGTAAGATTAACTGTTTGACACTGTATTTTAAGTGCAATAAATTTTACTCTAGTGATTATTTTATTGATAATATAACCTAAATAATAATAAAACTTTATATATATTTACTAGGTATATATCAGGTTTTATTAATTTAATTTCCCTAAAAATATTTCTGTAATGAATTGAAGTTTTCAAAATATCAGTTTCCTAAAATTCAAATTAGTTTAATATTCTGGTAGACCTTACATCTGATTATCGGACTACCGACGTCATAGAATGCGTTGTTGCCTTTTTTACTTCATGGCTTGGAAGTAAAGGTGGCTGTGGTACTATACTTTTTCTACGATTATTTTCGTTTATAAAAATAAAAATTAAATTACCACTATATTTACACTGACAGATTAATAATTTTTAATCTGTCAAAAGAACGTCTGTTAATTCGTTCCCATGGTAACTCGACCAACTGACTTACGAGGCTTATGTGATATTACACATTTTTATAAAACTGAAGCGTAATTTTTTTTATTACGTGCTAGTCATTACGTGTCAGTATCTGTTATGATGCATTTACTTAGCATCCAAATAGTAGGTAATATACAATTTACTAGTAAGAGAGTAGAAAATTAGTATATTACATAACGAGAGTTGTAAGAAGCTTATTACATGCGAGTAAAAAAGTTGCGCGCGAGCCGCGTAGCGGCGAGCGCAGTAATTTTACAAGCATGTAATAAGCTTACAACTCAAGTTGTGTACTATACTTTTTCTACCATTATTTTTGTTTATAAAAATAAAAATTAAATTACCACTATATTTACACTGACAGATTAATAACTTTTAACCTGTCAAAACAACGCCTGTTAATT